CCTATTGTGCGGTTCCGTAGTGTAGTGGATCACGTTCGCTTCACACGCGAAAGGCCCCCCGGGTTGATCCCCACGGAACCAAGGGCCCCGGGTGTTTTATTTTACCCCCGGGGGTTTCAGGGGTGAATACGCTATGGGAAATTTACGCGAGGGGGTAATTTTATTTTTTTTGTTTTTTTTTAATCACGTGCTAATATTGCAATATATCTAATTTAGTGACAAGCTTTAAATCTGTCTCTTTTTTTCAAGACGTTCCCCACCTTGTGCGGTTCCGTAGTGTAGTGGATACGCCCCCTTCAAGCGAAAAGGGCCCGGTTGATCCCGGGCGGAACCAAGGGCCCCGGGGTGTTTTTTTTATCCACGGAAGGGTGCAGGGGGAATCGCCTTTTAATTCACGCGAGGATAATCTTATTTTTTTTGTACGCTTTACTTTAATCACGTGCTAATATGGCAATATATCTAATTTGTGACGAATTTTGTCTCTTTTAAATTTAAGACGTTTCCCCCCTTTGTGCGGGGTTTCCTAGTGTAGTGGTTTTCACGTTCGCTTCAACGCGAAAGGTCTCCGGGTTGATCCCGGCGGAACCAAGGGCCCGGAGGTTTTTTTTATCCCAAATGGTTGCAGGGGGTACGCGGGAAATTTACGCGAATACTTTTTTAGTACGCTTTTCTTTAATCAGCATAATATATGCAATGATATCTAATTTGTGACAAGTTTAAAACTGTCTCTTTAATTCAAGACGTTCCCTACCATTGTGCGGTTCCGTAGTGTAGGGAAAACACGTTCCTTTAAAAAAAGGTCTCCGGGTTTGATCCCCACGGAACCAAGCCCCAGTGTTTTCTTTATCCCCCGGAATGCGTTGCAGGGTGAATACGCTATGGAATTCACGCGAGGATAATTTTATTTTTATTTTACGCTTTACTTAATCACGTGCATAATATATGTCAATGATATCTAATTTAGTGTACAGCTTTAATTCTGTCTCTTTAATTCAAGACGTTCCCTACCGCCAGCAGTTCCGTAGTGTAGTATATCACGTTCGCTTCACACGCGAAAGGTCTTCGGTCTTGATCCTGAATGGAACCAAGGCCGGAGTGTTTACTCTTATCCCACTGAATGCGTTGCAGGGTGAATACGCCATGGAATCTACGCGAGGATACTCTTATTTTATTGTACGCTTTACTTTAATCAATGCATACAGGCGTCAATGATATCTAATTTAGTACAAGCTTTAATTCTGTCTCTTTAATTCAAGACGTTCCCTACCTATTGTGCAACTCCGTAGTGTAGTGGTTATCACGTTCGCTTCACACGCGAAAGGTCTCCGGTTCCGGATCCCGGACGGAACCCGGCGCGGCCGGAGGCGCCGCACATTTTATCCCACGGAATGTTGCAGGGTGAATACGCCATGGAATTCAATGAGGATAATTTATTTTTATTGTACGCTATACCTTTAATCACGTGCATAATATATGTCAATGATATCTAATTCTAGTGTACAAGCTTTAATTCTGTCTCTTTAATTGAAGACGTTCCCTACCCATTGTGCGAACCTTGCAGTGTAGTGGTTATCACGTTCGCTTCACACGCGAAAGGTCTCCGTTCGATCCCGACGGAACCAAGGGCCGAGTGTTTTACTTTATCCCAAGGAATGTTGCAGGGTGAATACGGGAATTCACGCGAGGATAATTTTACTTTTTATTGTACGCTTTACTTTAATCACGTGCATAATATATGTCAATGATATCTAATTTAGTGTACAGCTTAATTTGTCTTTAATTCAAGAGTTTCCTACTTATTGTGCAAGCAATAATACATTTTACGCACATCAGCCACATATATTCTTATTTCATTGGTAACGCTTCATTTTAACAAGAGCATGTCACTTATATTCAATTTAGGTACAAGCTACCTGCCTCTTGGTTCAAGCATTGCTGCAGGGCCGAAATATATATTGGTACTTTTACCTGCACCAGCAATATATGCCACGATATCTAATTTAGTACAAGCTTTTACCCTGTCTCTTTAATTCAAGACGTTCCCTACCTATTGTGCAGGTTCCGTAGTGTAGTGGTTATCACGTTCGCTTCAATACACGCGAAAGGTCTTCGGTTCGATCCCGACGGAACCAAGCGCGCTTGAGTGCTTTACTTGGTCTCACTGAATGCGGGTTAGTAGGGTGTGTAATAGCGCGAAATTCGCCAGAGGGACAATTTTGGCTTTTATTGCGCGCCACTTTAAATCAGCGTGCTAAATATGGCGTCAAATGATATCTAATTTAGTGTACAAGCCTTAATTCTGTCTCTTAATTCAAGACGTTCTCACCTATTGCGCAGTTCCGTAGCGTAGTGGTTATCAGTTGCTCCACTGCCATTTGTGCAAAGCGTCCCCGTCTGATCCCGGACTTAACCAAGGCCGGAGGTTTTACTTTAATATCCCACGGAATGCGTTGCAGGCAGAATACCGCTTGCGAATTCACGCGAGGGGATAATTTATTTTTATTGCACGCTATACTTTAATCACGTGCATAATATATGTCAATGATATCTTAATTTGCGTACAAGCTTTAATTCTGTCTTCGTTCAAGACGTTCCCTACCTATTGTGCGGTTCCGTAGTGTAGTGGTTATCACGTTCGCTTCACACACGCGAAAGGTCTCCGGTTCGACTTTGACGGAACCAAGGGCCGGAGTGTTTCTGCCTTATCCCAAGGAATGCAGTTATAGGTGAATACGCTATGGAATTCATTTTAGGATAATTTTATTTTTATTGTACGCTTTACTTTAATCACGTGCATAATATATGTCAATGATATCTAATTTAGTGTACAAGCTTTAATTTGCCTCTTTAATTCAAGACGTTCCCCTACCTATTGTGCAGTTCCGTAGTGTAGTGAAAGTTATCACGTTCGCTTCACACGCGAAAGGCCCCCGGTTCGATCCCGACGGAAACTAAGTGTCGGCGGTTAATTTTATCCCACGGAATGCGTTGCAGGTGAATACGCTAAGTGAATTCACGCGAGGATAATTTTATTTTATTGTACGCTTTACTTAATCACGTGCATAAATATGGCGTCAATGATATCTAATTTAGTGTACAAGCTTTAATTCTGTCTCTTTAATTGAAGACGTTCCCTACCTATTGGTGCGGTTCCGTAGTGTGGTGGTTATCACGTTCGCTTCACACGCGAAAGGTCTCCGGTTCGATCCCGGACGGAACCAAGGGCCGGAGTGTTTTACTTTATCCCACGGAATGCGTTGCAGGGTGAATACGCTATGGAATTCACGCGAGGGGATAATTTTTATTTTTACTGTACGCTTTACTTTAATCACGCATAATATATGGCAATGATATCTAATTTTAGTGTACAAGCTTTAATTCTGTCTCTCCTTTAATCTAATAATTCCCCTACCTATTGTGCAGTTCCGTAGCGTGTAGTGAAAGCTATCACGTTCGCTTCACATCGCGAAAGCAGCCCCCGGTTCGATCCCGGACGGAACCAAGGGCTGAGTGTTTACTTATCCCAAGTAGTAACGTTGCAGGGTGAATACGCTATGGAATTCACGCGAGGATAATTCTTATTTTTATTGTACGCTTTACTTTAATCACGTGCATAATATATGTCAATGATATTCAATTTAGTACAAGCTTTAATTCTGTCTCTCTTTAATTCAAGACGTTCCCTACCTATTGTGCGGTTCCGTAGTGTAGTGAAGCTATCACGTTCGCTTCACACGCGAAAAGCGCGTCTCCGGTTCGATCCCGGACGGAACCAAGGGTCGGAGTGTTTTACTTTATCCCAAGGAATGCTGCAGGGGTGAATACGCTATGGAATCTCACGCGCGAGGATAATTCCTATTTTTATTGTACGCTTACTTTAATCACGTGCATAATATATGTCAATGATATCTAATTTAGTGTACAAGCTTTAATTCTGTCTTTAATTCAAGACGTTCCCTACCTATTGTGCAGTTCCGTAGTGCGTAGTAGTTATCACGTTCGCTTCACACACGCGAAAGGTATCCGGTTCGATCCTGACGGAACCAAGGCCGGAGTACTTTACTTATCCCACGGAATGCGTTGCACTGTGAATACGCTATGAATTCACGCGAGGATAATTTTATTTTTATTGTACGCTTTTACTTTAACTACGTGCATAAATATATGTCAATGATAATCTAATTTAGTGTACAAGCTTTAATTCTGTCTCTTTATCCAAGACGTTCCCTACCTATTGTGCGGTTCCGTAGTGTAGTGAGCATCAATACCTGCTTCACACGCGAAAGGCCCCCGGTTCGATCCCGGACGGAACCAAGGGCCGGAGTGTTACTTATCCCACGGAATGCGTTGGTAAGAATGTACGCCATGAATTCACGCGAGATAATTCTTTATTTTTATTGCACAAATTTTACTTTAATCACGCATAATATATGTCAATGATATCTAATTTAGTGTACAAGCTTTAATTCTGTCTCTTAATTCAAGACGTTCCCTACCTATTGTGCAGTTCCGTAGTGTAGTGGTTAATACTGTTCGCTTCATTATCGAAAGCGTCTCCGGTCTGACCTGACGGAACCAAGGGCCGGAGTGTTTTACTCTTATTCCACGGAAATGCCGTGGTGAATACGCCATGGAATTCACGCGAGGATAATTTTATTTTATTGTACGCTTTACTTTAATCACGTGCATAATATATGCGTCAATGATATCTAATTTAGTGTACAAGCTTTAATTCTGTCTCTTTAATTCAAGACGTTCCCTACCTATTGTGCAGTTCCGTAGCGTAGTGAGTTATCACGTTCGCTTCACGCGAAAGGCCTGTTCGATCCCGGACGGAACCAAGGGCCGGAGTGTTTTACTTTATCCCACGGAATGCGTTGCAGGGTGAATATCATGGAATTCACGCGAGGGGATAATTCTTATTTTTATTGTACGCTTTACTCTTAATCACGCGCATAATATATGTCAATGATATCTAATTTAGTGTACAAGCTTTAATTCTGTCTCTTGATCCAAGACGTTCCCTACCTATTGCGTGGTTCCGTAGTGTAGTGGTTATCACGTTCCGCTTCCACACGCGAAAGGTCTCCGGTTCGATCCCGACAGAACCAAGCGCCGGAGTGTTTTATTTTATCCCAGGGAATGCTTGCAGGTGAATACGCTTATGAATTCACGCGAGGGGATAAATTTTTATTTTTACAGTAATGCTTTACTTTAATCACGCATAATATATGCAAATGTGATATCTAATTTAGTACAAGATTAAATCTGTCTCTTTAATTCAAGACGTTCCCTACCTCTTGTGCGGTTCCGTAGTGTAGTGGTTATCACGTTCGCTTCACACGCGAAAGGTCTCCGGTTCGATCCCGGACGGAACCAAGCGCCGGAGTGTTTTATTTTATCCCAGGGAATGCGTTGCAGGGTGAATACGCTATGGAATTCACGCGAGGGGATAATTCTTATTTTTACAGTACGCTTTACTTTAATCACGTGCATAATATATGGCAATGTGATATCTAATTTAGTGAACAAGCTTTAAATCTGTCTTTAATTCAAGACGTTCCCTACCTCTTGTGCGGTTCCGTAGTGTAGTGGTTATCACGTTCGCTTCACATCATGAAAGGTCTCCGCCGATCCCGGACGGAACCAAGCGCCGGAGTGTTTTTATTTTATCCCCAGGAATGCGTTGCATGGGTAATACGCTGTGGAATTCACGCGAGGGGATACCTTTACCTTACAATGCTTACTTTGATCACGTGCATAATATATGGCAATGTGATATCTAATTTAGTGTACAAGATTTAAATCTGTCTCTTTAATTCAAGACGTTCCCTACATATTGTGCGGTTCCTTAGTGTAGTGGTTATCACGTTCGCTTCACACGCAAAAGGTCTCCGGTTCGATCCCGGACAGAACCAAGCGCCGGAGTGTTTTATTTTATCCCAGGGAATGCGTTGCAGGGTGAATACGCTATGGAATTCACGCGAGGATAATTTTTATTTTACCGTACGCTTTACTTAAATCACGTGCATAATATATATAATGATATCTAATTTAGTGAACAAGCTTTAAATCTGTCTCTTTAATTCAAGACGTTCCTACCTCTGTGTGCGGTTCCGTAGTGTAGTGAGCATCACGTTCGCTTCACACGCGAAAGTCTCGCCGATCCCGACAGAACCAAGCGCCGGAGTGTTATTTTATCCCAGGGAATGCGTTGCAGGGTGAATAATACGCTATGGAATCTCACGCGAGGATAATTTTATTTTGTACGCTTTACTTAATCACGTGCATAATAATATATGGCAATGATATCTAATTTAGTGAACAAGCTAAAATCGTCTTTAATTCAAAAAGTTCTCCACCTCTTGTGCGGTTCCGTAGTGTAATGGTTATCACGTTCGCTTCACACGCGAAAGTTCTCCAGTTCGATCCCGGACGGAACCACGCGCCGGCGTTTTTTAATTTATTCCACGGAATGATGCTGACGGTTGAATACGCTGTGGAATTCACGCGAGGGGATAGTTCTTATTTTTACTGTACGCTTTACTTTAATCACGAGCATAATATATGGCAATGATATCTAATTTAGTGAACAAGCTTTAAATCTGTCTCTTTAATTCAAGACGTTCCCTACCTCTTGTGCGGTTCCGTAGTGTAGTGAAAGCACACGTTCGCTTCAATATTAGAAAAGCGTCTCCGGTTCGATCCCGACGGAACCAAGCGCCGGAGTGTTTTATTTTTATTCACGGAATGCGTTGCAGGGTGAATACGCTATGGAATTCACGCGAGGGGATAATTTATTTTAATGTACGCTTTACTTTAATCACGAGCATAATATATGGCAATGATATCTAATTTAGTGAACAAGCTTTAAATCTGTCTCTTTAATTCAAGACGGTTCTACCTCTTTGTGCGGTTCCGTAGTGTAGTGTTATCACGTTCGCTTCAATATCAGCGAAAGTTGCCCCGGTTCGATCCCGACGGAACCAAGCGCCGGAGTGTTTTATTTTATTTATCCCACGGAATGCGTTGCAGGGTGAATACGCTATGGAATTCACGCGAGGATTCTATTTTAATGTACGCTTTACTTTAATCACGAGCATAATATATGGCAATGATATCTAATTTAGTGAACAAGCTTTAAATCTGTCTCTTTAATTCAAGACGTTCCTACCTCTGCGGTTCCGTAGTGTAGTGAAAGTTATCACGTTCGCTTCATCGCGAAAGGTTCCGGTTCGATCCCGGATGAACCAAGCGCCGAAAGTGTTTTATTTTATTCCACGGAATGCGTTGTAGTGAATACGCGGAATTCAATACGCGAGGATAATTTATTTTTAATGTACGCTTTACTTCTAATCACGAGCATAATATATGGCAATGATATCTAATTTAGTGAACAAGCTTTAAATCTGTCTCTTTACCCAAGACGTTCCCTACCCTTGTGCGGTTCCGTAGTGTAGTGAAAGCATCACGTTCGCTTCACACGCGAAAGGTCTCCGGTTCGATCCGGACGGAACCAAGCGCCGAGTGTTTTTATTATTTTGTTCCCCACGGAATGCGTTGCAGGGTGAATACGCTATGAATTCACGCGAGGATAATTTTATTTTTAATGTACGCTTTACTTTTTTAATCATTGTTACAATATATGGCAATGATATCTAATTTATTGAACGTGTTTTAAAATCTGTCTCTTTAATTCAAGACGTACCCCCTACCTATTGCGCAGTTCCGTAGTGTAGTGGTTATCGCTGCCCCACACGCGAAAGGTCTCGGTTCCGACCGGACGGAACCAAGCGCCGGAGTGTTTTATTTTATCCCAGGGAATGCGTTGCAGGTGAATACGCTGCGGAATTCACGCGATACTCCTTATTTTATTGTACGCTTTACTTTAATCACGTGCATAATATATGCGTCACCGATATCTAATTTAGTGTACGTTTTACTCCTGTCTCTTTAATTCAAGACGTTCCCCACCATTGTGCGTTCCGTAGTGTAGTGGTTATCGCTGCCTGCTTCACACGCGAAAGGTCTCCGTTCATCCCGACGGAACCAAGGGCCGGAGCGCTTACTTATCCCAAGGAATGCGTTGCAGGGTGAATAGCCATGGAATTCACGCGAGGGGATAATTTTATTTTTATTGTACGCTTTACTTTTAATCACGTGCATAATATATGTCAATGATATTCTAATTTAGTGTGCTTTAATTCTGTCTCTTTAATTCAAGACGTTCCCTACCTATTGTGCAGTTCCGTAGTGTAGTGGTTATCACGTCTTCGCTTCACACGCGAAATCCGGTTCGATCCGACGGAAACCGCGGCCTGAAAGTGTTTACTTATCCTTACCTGAATGCGTTGCACTGTAATACGCTTTTGGAATTCACGCGAGGGGATAATTTTTATTTTTATTGTACGCTTTACTTTAATCACGTGCATAATATATGTCAATGATATCTAATTTAGTGTACAAAGCTTTTATAATTCTGTCTCTTTGAATCGCGACGTTCTCACCTATTGTGCGGTTCCGTAGTGTAGTGCGAGTTATCACGTTCGGTTCTACATATGAAAGGTCTCCGGTTCGATCCCGGACGGAAACTGCTGGGCCGGAGTGTTTTACTTTTATCCCACGGAATGTTGCAGGGTGACCAATGCCATGGAATTCACGCAGAGGGATAATTTTATTTTATTGTACGCTTACTTAATCACGTGCATAATATATGTCAATGATATCTAATTTAGTGTACGTTTTAATTCTGTCTCTTTAATTCAAGACGTCTCTACCTATTGTGCAGTTCCAGTGTAGTGAAAGCTATCACGTCGCCTACACACGCGAAAGGTCTCCGGTTCGATCCCGGACGGAACCAAGGCCGGAGTGTTTTACTTTATCCCACGGAATGCGTTGCAGGGTGAATACTTCATGGAATCTCACGCGAGGATAATTTTATTTATTGTACGCTTTTACTTTAATCACGCATAATATATATGCGTGCGTCAATGATATCTAATTTAGTGAACAAGCTTTTTAAATCTGTCTCTTTAATTCAAGATCGTTCCCTACCTATTGTGTGACCTGTAGTGTAAGTGGGAGTTATCACTGCTCCGCTTCACACGCGAAAGGTTCTCGGTTTGATCCTGACGGAAACCGCTGCCGGAGTATGCATTTATCCCACGGAATAAAGCCGCAGGGGTGAATACGCCATGGAATTCACGCGAGGGGATACCTCTATTTTTATTGTACGCTTATCAATCACGTGCATAATATATGTCAATGATATCTAATTTAGTGAACAAGCTTTAAATCTGTCTTCACCAAGACGTTCCCTACCTATTGTGCAGTTCCGTAGTGTAGTGGAAAGCATCACGTTCCGCTTCACACGCGAAAGGTCTCCGGTTCGATCCCGGACGGAACCAAGGGCCGGAGGTTTTACTTTATCCCACGGAATGTAGTGTTGCAGGGTGAATACGCTATGGAATTCACGCGCGAGGGATAATTTTATTTTTATTGTAATGCTTTACTTTAATCACGTGCATAATATATGTCAATGATATCTAATTGCGTACAAGCTTTAATTCTGTCTCTTTAATTCAAGACGTTCCCTACCTATTGTGCAGTTCCGTAGTGTAGTGGTTATCACGTTCGCTTCACACGCGAAAGGTCTCCCGGTTCGATCCCGACGGAACCAAGGCCGAGTGTTTTACTTATCCCACGGAATGCGTTGCAGGGTGTAATTACGCTATGGAATCTCACGCGAGGATAATTTTATTTTATTGTACGCTTTACTTTAATCACGTGCATAATATATGTCAATGATATCTAATTTAGTGTACAAGCTTTTAATTCTGTCTCTTTAATTCAAGACGTTCCTACCTATTGTGCGGTTCCGTAGTGTAGTGGTTATCACGCTTCACACGTCGAAAAGTCTCCGGTTCGATCCGACGGAACCAAGGCCGAGTGTTTTACTTTATCCCACGGAATGCGTTGCAGGGTGAATACGCTATGGAATTCACGCGAGGATAATTTATTTTTATTGTACGCTTGATTTAATCACGTGGCTAATATATGTCAATGATATTCAATTTAGTACAAGTTTTAATTCTGTTCCTTAATTCAAGACGTTCCCTACCTATTGTGCAGTTCCGTAGTGTAGTGAGCATCACGTTCGCTTCCACACGCGAAAAGGTCTCCCGGTTCGATCCCGGACGGAACCAAGGGCCGGAGTGTTTTACTTATCCCACGGAATGCGTTGCAGGGTGAATACTCTGAATTCACGCGAGATACTTATTTTTATTGTACGCTTTATTTTAATCACGTGCATATTATGTCAATGATATCTAATTAGTGTACAAGCTTTAATTCTGTCTCTTTAATTCAAGACGCCCTACCTATTGTGCGGTTCCGTAGTAGTGGTTATCACGTTCGCTTCACACGCGAAAGGTCTCCGGTTCGATCCCGACAGAACCCGCGCCGGAGTGTTTTATTTTATCCCAGGAATGCGTTGCAGGGTGAATACGTTATGGAATCTCAATGCGAGGGGATAATTTTTATTTTTACGCACAAGCTTTACTTAATCACGTGCATAATATATGGCAATGTGATATCTATATTTAGTGTACAAGATTAAATCTGTCTTTAATTCAAGACGTTCCCTACCTCTTGTGCGGTTCCGTAGTGTAGTGAAGTATCACTGCTCGCTTCACACACGCGAAAGGTTCTGTCTGACCACGGACGGAACCAAGCGCCGGAGTGTTTTATTTTATCCCACGGAATGCGTTGCAGGGTGAATACGCTATGGAATTCACGCGAGGGGATAATTCTTATTTTTACAGTACGCTTTACTTTAATCACGTGCATAATATATGGCAATGTGATATCTAATTTAGTGTACAAGCTTTAAATCTGTCTCTTTAATTCAAGACGTTCCCTACCTCTTGTGCGGTTCCGTAGTGTAGTGGTTATCACGTTCGCTTCACACGCGAAAGGTCTCCGCTTCGATCCCGGACGAACCAAGCGCCGGAGTAAGCTTATTTTATCCCAGGAATGCGTTGCAGGTGAATACGCTTATGGAATTCACGCGAGGATAATTTAATTTTACAGTACGCTTTTACTCTTAATCACGTGCATAATATATGGCAATGATATCTAATTTAGTGAACAAGCTTTAAATCTGTCTCTTTAATTCAAGACGTTCCCTACCTCTGTGCGGTTCCTGCGTAGTGTTATCACGTTCGCTTCACACGCAAAAGGTCTCCGGTTCGATCCCGGACAGAACCAAGCGCCGAGTGTTTTATTTTATCCTGTAAATGCGTTGCAGGGTGAATGTACGCTATGGAATTCACGCGAGGGATAATTTATTTTACTGTACGCTTTACTTTAATCACGTGCATAATATATGGCAATGATATCTAATTTAGTGAACAAGCTTTAAATCTGTCTCTTTAATTCAAGACGTTCCCTATCTCTTGTGCGGTTCCGTAGTGTAGTGGTTATCACGTTCGCTTCACACGCGAAAGGTCTCCGCTTCGGGATCCCGACAGAACCAAGCGCCGGAGGTTATTTTTATCCCAGGGAATGCGTTGCAGGTGAATACGCCATGGAATTCACGCGAGGATAATTTTATTTTACTGTACGCTTTACTCTTAATCACGTGCATAATATATGGCAATGATATTCAATTTAGTGAACGCTTTAAATCTGTCTCTTTAATTCAAGACGTTCCCTACCTATTTCAGTGGTTCCGTAGTGTAGTGGAGTTATCACGTTCGCCACACACGCCGAAAGCGTCTCCGGTTCGATCTCGACGGAACCAAGCGCCGGAGTGTTTTATTTTACCTCCACGGAATGCTGCAGGGTGAATACGCTATGGAATTCACGCGAGGATAATTTTTATTTTTACTCGTACGCTTTACTTTAATCAATTTATATAATATATGGCAATGATATCTAATTTAGTGAACAAGCTTTAAATCTGTCTCTTTAATTCAAGACGTTCCCTACCTCTTGTGCGGTTCCGTAGTGTAGTGAAAGCATCACGTTCGCTTCATCAAAGCGAAAGGCTCTGTCTGATCCTGACGGAACCAAGCGCCGGAGTGTTTTATTTTATCTCCACGGAATGCCAGGTGAATACGCTATGGAATTCACGCGAGGGATAATTTCTATTTTTAATGTACGCTTTACTTTAATCACGAGCATAAGAGGCAAATGATATCTAATTTAGTGAACAAGCTTTAAATCTGTCTCTTTAATTCAAAGACGCCCCACCCTTTGTGCGGTTTCCGTAGTGTAGTGGTTATCACGTTCAGTTTCACACGCGAAAGGTCTCCGCCTGATCCCTGACGGAACCAAGCGCCGGGAGTGTTTTTATTTTATCCCACGGAATGCGTTATAAAGTGAATACTATGGAATTCACGCGAGGGATACCCTGCTTTTAAATGTACGCTTTACTCTTAATCACGAGCATAATATATGGCAATGATATCTAATTTTAGTGAACAGTTTTAAATCTGTCTCTTTAATTCAAGACGTTCCCTACCCTTGTGCGCGCAGGTTCCGTAGTGTAGTGAGTTATCACGTTCGCTTCCACACGTGCGAAAGGTCTCTGTCTGATCCTGACGGAACCAAGCGCCGGAGTGTTTTATTTTATTCCACGGAATGCGTTGCAGGGTGAATACGCTATGGAATTCACGCGAGGGGATAATTCTTATTTTAATGTACGCTTTACTTTAATCACGAGCATAATATATGGCAATGATATCTAATTTAGTGAAATGCTTTTTAAATCTGTCTCTTAATTTACGTTCCCCTACCTCTTTGTGCGGTTCCGCAGTGTAGTGGTTATCACGTTCGCTTCCACACGCGAAAGGTCTCGGTTCTGATCCCGACGGAACCAAGCGCTTATGTTTTATTTTATTCCACGGAATGCGTTGCAGGTGAATACGCTATGGAATTACCGCGAGGGATAATTTATTTTTAATGTACGCTTTACTTTAATCACGAGCAATTATATGGCACATATCTAAATTTAGTGAACAAGCTTTAAATTTCGTTTCTTTAATTCAAGACGTTCCCCTAAATTTTGTGCGGTTCCGTAGTGTAGTGAGCTATCACGTTCGCTTCACGCGAAAAGGCTCCGGTTCGATCCCGGACGGAAACCAAGCGCCGAGTGTTTTATTTTATTCCACGGAATGCGTTGCAGGTGAATACGCCATGGAATTCACGCGAGGATAATTTTACTTTTAATGCACAATACTTTAATCACGAGCATAATATATGGCAATGATATCTAATTCTAGTGAACAAGCTTTAAATCTGTCTCTTTAATCCAAGACGTTCCCTACCTCTGTGCGGTTCCGCAGTGTAGTATATCACGTTCGCTTCCACATCGCGAAAGGTCTCCGGTTCAATCCGACGGAACCAGGCGCCGGAGTAAGTTTTATTTTATCCCACGGAATAAAATGGGTGAATACGCTATGAATCTTCACGCGAGGATAATTCTTATTTTAATACTACTTTAATCACGTGCATACTATGCGTAATGATATCAATTTAGTGAACAAGCTTTAAATCTGTCTCTTTAATTCAAGACGTTCCATTGTGCGGTTCCGTAGTGTAATGGTTATCACGTTCGCTTCACACGCTTAAAGGGCTCTGGTCTGATCCTGACGGTCCGGGCAAGCGCGCTGGAGTGTTTTATTTATTCCACGGACGTGTTGCAGGTGAATACGCTATGTGAATTCACGCGAGGGGATAATTTATTTTAATGTGCATTTAATCACGAGCATAATATATGGCAATGATATCTAATTTATGAACAAGCTTTTAAATTGTTTTTAATTCAAGACGTTCCTACCCTTGTGCACCTGCAGTGTGGTTATCACGTTCGCTTCAATACCGCGAAAGGTCTCCGGTTCGATCTCCGACGAACCAAGCGCCGGAGTGTTTTATTTATTCCACGGAATGCGTTGTAAGTGAATACGCTATGGAATTCACGCGAGGGGATAATTTATTTTTAATGTACGCTTTTACTTTAATCACGAGCATAATATATGGCAATGATATTCCAATTTAGTGAACAAGCTTTAAATCTGCTCCTTAATTCAAGACGTTCCCTACCTCTTGTGCGTTCCGTAGTGTAGTGAAAGTTATCACGTTCGCTTCACACGCGAAAGGCCCCGGTTCGATCCCGACGGAACCAAGCGCCGGAGTATTTTATCCCACGGAATGCGTTGCAGAATACGCGAATTCACGCGAGGATAATTCTTATTTTTAATGTACGCTTTACTTTAATCACGAGCATAATATATGGCAATGATATCTAATTTAGTGAACAAGCTTTAAATCTGTTTCTTTAATTCAAGACGTTCCCTACCTCTTGTGCGGTTCCGTAGTGTAGGAGCATCACGTTCGCTTCACACGCGAAAGGTCTCCGGTCTGATCCTGACGGAACCAAGCGCCGGAGTGTTTTATTTTATTCCACGGAATGCGTTGCAGGGTGAATACGCCATGGAATTCACGCGAGGATAATTCTATTTTAATGTACGCTTTACTTTAATCACGAGCATAATATATGGCAATGATATCTAATTTAGTGAACAAGCTTTAAATCTGGCTCTTTAATGCAAGACGTTCTCACCTCTTGTGCGTGCCCCGCAGCGTAGTGGTTATCACGTTCGCTTCACATCATGAAAGGTCTCCGGTTCGATCCCGGACGGAACCAAGCGCCGGAGTGTTTTTATTTTATCCCACGGAATGCGTTGCAGGTGAATACGCTATGGAATTCACGCGAGGATACCTGATTTTTAATGTACGCTTTACTTAATCACGTGCATATTATATGCAATGATATCTAATTTAGTGAACAAGCTTTTAAATCTAACTTTTAATTCAAGACGTTCCCTACCTATTGTGCGGTTCCGTAGTGTAGTGTATATATCACGTTCGCTTCACATCGCGAAAGGTCTCCGGTTCGATCCGACGGAACCAAGGCCGTGGAGTGTTTTATTTTATCCCAGGAATGCGTTGCAGGGTGAATACGCTTATGGAATTCACGCGAGGGGATAATTTATTTTATTGTATTTTACTTTAATCACGTGCATAATATATGTCAATGATATCTAATTTAGTGCTTTAATTCTGTCTCTTTAATTCAAGACGTTCTTACCTATTGTGCGGTTCCGTAGTGTAGTAATATCACGTTCGCTTCACACGCGAAAGTTCTCCAGTTCGATCCGACGGAACCAAGGGGGCTTGAGTGTTTACTTTATCCCAAGGAATGCGTTGCAGGGTGAATACGCCATGGAATTCACGCGAGGATAATTTATTTTGCTGTAATGCTTTACTCTTAATCACGTGCATAATATATGTCAATGATATTCACTCTTAGTGTACAAGCTTTTAATTTGCCCCTCACCAAGACGTTCCCTACCTATTGTGCAGTTCCGTAGTGTAGTGGTTATCACGTTCGCTTCACATCGCTGAAAGGTATCCGGTTCGATCCCGGACGGAACCAAGGGCCGGAGGTTTTACTCTTATCCCACGAATGCGTTGCACTGTGAATACGCTATGGAATTCACGCGAGGATAATTCTTATTTTTATTGCACGCTTTACTTTAATCACGTGCATAATATATGTCAATGATATCTAATTTAGTGTACAAGCTAATTCTGTCTTTAATTCAAGACGTTCCTACCTTATTGTGCGGTTCCGTAGTGTAGTGAAAGTATCACGTTCGCTTCACACGCGAAAGGTCTCCGGTTCGATCCCGACGGAACCAAGGGCCGGAGTGTTTTAATTTTATCCCACGGAATGCGTTGCAGGGTGAATACGCTATGGAATTCACGAGGATACCCTTATTTTTATTGTATCAGCTTTACTTTAATCAATACGTGCATAATATAGTGTCAATGATATTCAATTTAGTGTACAAGCTTTAATTCTGTCTCTTTAATTCAAGACGTTCCCTACCTATTGTGCAGTTCCGTAGTGTGTAGCTATCACGTTCGCTTCCACATCATGAAAGATTTAGTGTACAAAGCTTTAATTCTGTCTCTTTAATCCAAGACGTTCCCTACCTATTGTGCGGTTCCGTAGTCTAGTGAAAGCTATCATTGCTCGCTTCACACGCGAAAGGTCTCCGGTTCGATCGGACGGAACCAAGGGCCGGAGTGTTTTATCCCACGGAATGCGTTGCAGAATACGCTATGGAATTCACGCGAGGTTATAATTTTATTTTTATTGTACGCTTTACTTAATCACGTGCATAATATATGTCAATGATATCTAATTTGGGTACAAGCTTAATTCTGTCTCTTATCAAAGACGTTCCTCACCTATTGTGCGGTTCCGTAGTGTGGTGGTTATCACGTTCGCTTCACATGCGTAAGGTCTTCGGTTCGATCCTGACGGAAACCAAGGGCCGAGTGTTTTACTTATCCCACGGAATGCGTTGCAGGGTGAATACGCTTGCGGAATTCACGCGAGGGGATAATTTACTTTTTATTGCTTTGTACGCTTTACTTTTAATCTACGTGCATATTATATGTCAATGATATCTAATTTAGTGCAAGCTTTAATTTGCCCTTTAATTCAAGACGTTCCTACCCATGTGCAGTTCCGTAGTGTAGTGGGAAAGCATCACGTTCGCTTCAATATCGCGAAAGCGTCTCCTTGTTCGATCCCAGCCTGAACCAAGGCCGGATATACTTTATCCCACGGAATGCGTTGCAGGGTGAATACGCTATGGAATTCACGCGAGGATAATTATTTTATTGTACGCTTTTACTTTAATCACGTGCATAATATATGTCAATGATATCTAATTTAGTGTATACAAGCTTTAATTCTGTCTTTTTAATTCAAGACATTCTACCTGCCAGCAGTCCGTAGTGTAGTGGTTATCACGTTCGCTTCACACGCGAAGGTTCCGGTTCGATCCCGGTCGCAAACCAAGGGCCGAGCGTTTTACTTTATCCCACGGAATGCGCTGTAGGGTGAATACGCTATGGAATTCAATACGCGCGAGGGGATAATTCTTATTTTTATTGTACGCTTTACTTTAATCAATGCATAATATATGCCACCATATCTAATTTAGTGTACGCTTCTAATTGCCCTTAATTCAAGACGTTCCCCACCTATTGTGCGGTTCCGTAGTGTAGTGGTTATCAGGTTCTGCTTCACACGCGAAAGGTCTCCGGTCTGGATCCCGACGGAACCAAGTGGGCCGGAGTGTTAATTTTATCCCAAGGAATGCGTTGCAGGGTGAATACAATTCATGGAATTCACGCGAGGATAATTTTATTTTTATTGTACGCTTTACTTAATCACGTGCATAATATATGTCAATGATATCTAATTTAGTGTACAGCTTTAATTCTGTCTCTTTAATTCAAGACGTTCCCTACCGCCAGCAGTTCCGTAGTGTAGTATATCACGTTCGCTTCACACGCGAAAGGTCTTCGGTCTTGATCCTGAATGGAACCAAGGCCGGAGTGTTTACTCTTATCCCACTGAATGCGTTGCAGGGTGAATACGCCATGGAATCTACGCGAGGATACTCTTATTTTATTGTACGCTTTACTTTAATCAATGCATACAGGCGTCAATGATATCTAATTTAGTACAAGCTTTAATTCTGTCTCTTTAATTCAAGACGTTCCCTACCTATTGTGCAACTCCGTAGTGTAGTGGTTATCACGTTCGCTTCACACGCGAAAGGTCTCCGGTTCCATCCCGGACGGAACCCGGCGCGGCCGGAGGCGCCGCACATTTTATCCCACGGAATGTTGCAGGGTGAATACGCCATGGAATTCAATGAGGATAATTTATTTTTATTGTACGCTATACCTTTAATCACGTGCATAATATATGTCAATGATATCTAATTCTAGTGTACAAGCTTTAATTCTGTCTCTTTAATTGAAGACGTTCCCTACCCATTGTGCGAACCTTGCAGTGTAGTGGTTATCACGTTCGCTTCACACGCGAAAGGTCTCCGTTCGATCCCGACGGAACCAAGGGCCGAGTGTTTTACTTTATCCCAAGGAATGTTGCAGGGTGAATACGGGAATTCACGCGAGGATAATTTTACTTTTTATTGTACGCTTTACTTTAATCACGTGCATAATATATGTCAATGATATCTAATTTAGTGTACAGCTTAATTTGTCTTTAATTCAAGAGTTTCCTACTTATTGTGCAAGCAATAATACATTTTACGCACATCAGCCACATATATTCTTATTTCATTGGTAACGCTTCATTTTAACAAGAGCATGTCACTTATATTCAATTTAGGTACAAGCTACCTGCCTCTTGGTTCAAGCATTGCTGCAGGGCCGAAATATATATTGGTACTTTTACCTGCACCAGCAATATATGCCACGATATCTAATTTAGTACAAGCTTTTACCCTGTCTCTTTAATTCAAGACGTTCCCTACCTATTGTGCAGGTTCCGTAGTGTAGTGGTTATCACGTTCGCTTCAATACACGCGAAAGGTCTTCGGTTCGATCCCGACGGAACCAAGCGCGCTTGAGTGCTTTACTTGGTCTCACTGAATGCGGGTTAGTAGGGTGTGTAATAGCGCGAAATTCGCCAGAGGGACAATTTTGGCTTTTATTGCGCGCCACTTTAAATCAGCGTGCTAAATATGGCGTCAAATGATATCTAATTTAGTGTACAAGCCTTAATTCTGTCTCTTAATTCAAGACGTTCTCACCTATTGCGCAGTTCCGTAGCGTAGTGGTTATCAGTTGCTCCACTGCCATTTGTGCAAAGCGTCCCCGTCTGATCCCGGACTTAACCAAGGCCGGAGGTTTTACTTTAATATCCCACGGAATGCGTTGCAGGCAGAATACCGCTTGCGAATTCACGCGAGGGGATAATTTATTTTTATTGCACGCTATACTTTAATCACGTGCATAATATATGTCAATGATATCTTAATTTGCGTACAAGCTTTAATTCTGTCTTCGTTCAAGACGTTCCCTACCTATTGTGCGGTTCCGTAGTGTAGTGGTTATCACGTTCGCTTCACACACGCGAAAGGTCTCCGGTTCGACTTTGACGGAACCAAGGGCCGGAGTGTTTCTGCCTTATCCCAAGGAATGCAGTTATAGGTGAATACGCTATGGAATTCATTTTAGGATAATTTTATTTTTATTGTACGCTTTACTTTAATCACGTGCATAATATATGTCAATGATATCTAATTTAGTGTACAAGCTTTAATTTGCCTCTTTAATTCAAGACGTTCCCCTACCTATTGTGCAGTTCCGTAGTGTAGTGAAAGTTATCACGTTCGCTTCACACGCGAAAGGCCCCCGGTTCGATCCCGACGGAAACTAAGTGTCGGCGGTTAATTTTATCCCACGGAATGCGTTGCAGGTGAATACGCTAAGTGAATTCACGCGAGGATAATTTTATTTTATTGTACGCTTTACTTAATCACGTGCATAAATATGGCGTCAATGATATCTAATTTAGTGTACAAGCTTTAATTCTGTCTCTTTAATTGAAGACGTTCCCTACCTATTGGTGCGGTTCCGTAGTGTGGTGGTTATCACGTTCGCTTCACACGCGAAAGGTCTCCGGTTCGATCCCGGACGGAACCAAGGGCCGGAGTGTTTTACTTTATCCCACGGAATGCGTTGCAGGGTGAATACGCTATGGAATTCACGCGAGGGGATAATTTTTATTTTTATTGTACGCTTTACTTTAATCACGCATAATATATGTCAATGATATCTAATTTTAGTGTACAAGCTTTAATTCTGTCTCTCCTTTAATCTAATAATTCCCCTACCTATTGTGCAGTTCCGTAGCGTGTAGTGAAAGCTATCACGTTCGCTTCACATCGCGAAAGCAGCCCCCGGTTCGATCCCGGACGGAACCAAGGGCTGAGTGTTTACTTATCCCAAGTAGTAACGTTGCAGGGTGAATACGCTATGGAATTCACGCGAGGATAATTCTTATTTTTATTGTACGCTTTACTTTAATCACGTGCATAATATATGTCAATGATATTCAATTTAGTACAAGCTTTAATTCTGTCTCTCTTTAATTCAAGACGTTCCCTACCTATTGTGCGGTTCCGTAGTGTAGTGAAGCTATCACGTTCGCTTCACACGCGAAAAGCGCGTCTCCGGTTCGATCCCGGACGGAACCAAGGGTCGGAGTGTTTTACTTTATCCCAAGGAATGCTGCAGGGGTGAATACGCTATGGAATCTCACGCGCGAGGATAATTCCTATTTTTATTGTACGCTTACTTTAATCACGTGCATAATATATGTCAATGATATCTAATTTAGTGTACAAGCTTTAATTCTGTCTTTAATTCAAGACGTTCCCTACCTATTGTGCAGTTCCGTAGTGCGTAGTAGTTATCACGTTCGCTTCACACACGCGAAAGGTATCCGGTTCGATCCTGACGGAACCAAGGCCGGAGTACTTTACTTATCCCACGGAATGCGTTGCACTGTGAATACGCTATGAATTCACGCGAGGATAATTTTATTTTTATTGTACGCTTTTACTTTAACTACGTGCATAAATATATGTCAATGATAATCTAATTTAGTGTACAAGCTTTAATTCTGTCTCTTTATCCAAGACGTTCCCTACCTATTGTGCGGTTCCGTAGTGTAGTGAGCATCAATACCTGCTTCACACGCGAAAGGCCCCCGGTTCGATCCCGGACGGAACCAAGGGCCGGAGTGTTACTTATCCCACGGAATGCGTTGGTAAGAATGTACGCCATGAATTCACGCGAGATAATTCTTTATTTTTATTGCACAAATTTTACTTTAATCACGCATAATATATGTCAATGATATCTAATTTAGTGTACAAGCTTTAATTCTGTCTCTTAATTCAAGACGTTCCCTACCTATTGTGCAGTTCCGTAGTGTAGTGGTTAATACTGTTCGCTTCATTATCGAAAGCGTCTCCGGTCTGACCTGACGGAACCAAGGGCCGGAGTGTTTTACTCTTATTCCACGGAAATGCCGTGGTGAATACGCCATGGAATTCACGCGAGGATAATTTTATTTTATTGTACGCTTTACTTTAATCACGTGCATAATATATGCGTCAATGATATCTAATTTAGTGTACAAGCTTTAATTCTGTCTCTTTAATTCAAGACGTTCCCTACCTATTGTGCAGTTCCGTAGCGTAGTGAGTTATCACGTTCGCTTCACGCGAAAGGCCTGTTCGATCCCGGACGGAACCAAGGGCCGGAGTGTTTTACTTTATCCCACGGAATGCGTTGCAGGGTGAATATCATGGAATTCACGCGAGGGGATAATTCTTATTTTTATTGTACGCTTTACTCTTAATCACGCGCATAATATATGTCAATGATATCTAATTTAGTGTACAAGCTTTAATTCTGTCTCTTGATCCAAGACGTTCCCTACCTATTGCGTGGTTCCGTAGTGTAGTGGTTATCACGTTCCGCTTCCACACGCGAAAGGTCTCCGGTTCGATCCCGACAGAACCAAGCGCCGGAGTGTTTTATTTTATCCCAGGGAATGCTTGCAGGTGAATACGCTTATGAATTCACGCGAGGGGATAAATTTTTATTTTTACAGTAATGCTTTACTTTAATCACGCATAATATATGCAAATGTGATATCTAATTTAGTACAAGATTAAATCTGTCTCTTTAATTCAAGACGTTCCCTACCTCTTGTGCGGTTCCGTAGTGTAGTGGTTATCACGTTCGCTTCACACGCGAAAGGTCTCCGGTTCGATCCCGGACGGAACCAAGCGCCGGAGTGTTTTATTTTATCCCACGGAATGCGTTGCAGGGGGAATACGCTATGGAATTCACGCGAGGGGATAATTCTTATTTTTACAGTACGCTTTACTTTAATCACGTGCATAATATATGGCAATGTGATATCTAATTTAGTGTACAAGCTTTAAATCTGTCTTTAATTCAAGACGTTCCCTACCTCTTGTGCGGTTCCGTAGTGTAGTGGTTATCACGTTCGCTTCACATCATGAAAGGTCTCCGCCGATCCCGGACGGAACCAAGCGCCGGAGTGTTTTTATTTTATCCCCAGGAATGCGTTGCATGGGTAATACGCTATGGAATTCACGCGAGGGGATACCTTTACCTTACAATGCTTACTTTGATCACGTGCATAATATATGGCAATGTGATATCTAATTTAGTGTACAAGATTTAAATCTGTCTCTTTAATTCAAGACGTTCCCTACATATTGTGCGTCCAGTGTAGTGGTTATCACGTTCGCTTCACACGCAAAAGGTTCTCGGTTCGATCCCGACAGAACCAAGGCCGGAGTGTTTTATTTTATCCCAGGGAATGCGTTGCAGTGGGTGAATACGCTATGGAATTCACGCGAGGATAATTTTTATTTTACCGTACGCTTTACTTAAATCACGTGCATAATATATATAATGATATCTAATTTAGTGAACAAGCTTTAAATCTGTCTCTTTAATTCAAGACGTTCCTACCTCTGTGTGCGGTTCCGTAGTGTAGTGAGCATCACGTTCGCTTCACACGCGAAAGTCTCGCCGATCCCGACAGAACCAAGCGCCGGAGTGTTATTTTATCCCAGGGAATGCGTTGCAGGGTGAATAATACGCTATGGAATCTCACGCGAGGATAATTTTATTTTGTACGCTTTACTTAATCACGTGCATAATAATATATGGCAATGATATCTAATTTAGTGAACAAGCTAAAATCGTCTTTAATTCAAGACGTTCCCTACCTCTTGTGCGGTTCCGTAGTGTAGTGGTTATCACGTTCGCTACACATGGAAAGGTTCCGGTTCGATCCCCGGGACGGAACCACGCGCCGGCGTGTTTTTATTTATTCCACGGAATGCGTTGCAGGGTGAATACGCTATGGAATTCACGCGAGGGGATAATTCTTATTTTTACTGTACGCTTTACTTTAATCACGAGCATAATATATGGCAATGATATCTAATTTAGTGAACAAGCTTTAAATCTGTCTTTAATTCAAGACGTTCCCTACCTCTTGTGCGGTTCCGTAGTGTAGTGAAAGCACACGTTCGCTTCAATATTAGAAAAGCGTCTCCGGTTCGATCCCGACGGAACCAAGCGCCGGAGTGTTTTATTTTTATTCACGGAATGCGTTGCAGGGTGAATACGCTATGGAATTCACGCGAGGGGATAATTTATTTTAATGTACGCTTTACTCTTTAATCACGAGCATAATATATGGCAATGATATCTAATTTAGTGAACAAGCTTTAAATCTGTCTCTTTAATTCAAGACGGTTCTACCTCTTTGTGCGGTTCCGTAGTGTAGTGTTATCACGTTCGCTTCAATATCAGCGAAAGTTGCCCCGGTTCGATCCCGACGGAACCAAGCGCCGGAGTGTTTTATTTTATTTATCCCACGGAATGCGTTGCAGGGTGAATACGCTATGGAATTCACGCGAGGATTCTATTTTAATGTACGCTTTACTTTAATCACGAGCATAATATATGGCAATGATATCTAATTTAGTGAACAAGCTTTAAATCTGTCTCTTTAATTCAAGACGTTCCTACCTCTGCGGTTCCGTAGTGTAGTGAAAGTTATCACGTTCGCTTCATCGCGAAAGGTTCCGGTTCGATCCCGGATGAACCAAGCGCCGAAAGTGTTTTATTTTATTCCACGGAATGCGTTGTAGTGAATACGCGGAATTCAATACGCGAGGATAATTTATTTTTAATGTACGCTTTACTTCTAATCACGAGCATAATATATGGCAATGATATCTAATTTAGTGAACAAGCTTTAAATCTGTCTCTTTACCCAAGACGTTCCCTACCCTTGTGCGGTTCCGTAGTGTAGTGAAAGCATCACGTTCGCTTCACACGCGAAAGGTCTCCGGTTCGATCCGGACGGAACCAAGCGCCGAGTGTTTTTATTATTTTGTTCCCCACGGAATGCGTTGCAGGGTGAATACGCTATGAATTCACGCGAGGATAATTTTATTTTTAATGTACGCTTTACTTTTTTAATCATTGTTACAATATATGGCAATGATATCTAATTTATTGAACGTGTTTTAAAATCTGTCTCTTTAATTCAAGACGTACCCCCTACCTATTGCGCAGTTCCGTAGTGTAGTGGTTATCGCTGCCCCACACGCGAAAGGTCTCGGTTCCGACCGGACGGAACCAAGCGCCGGAGTGTTTTATTTTATCCCAGGGAATGCGTTGCAGGTGAATACGCTGCGGAATTCACGCGATACTCCTTATTTTATTGTACGCTTTACTTTAATCACGTGCATAATATATGCGTCACCGATATCTAATTTAGTGTACGTTTTACTCCTGTCTCTTTAATTCAAGACGTTCCCCACCATTGTGCGTTCCGTAGTGTAGTGGTTATCGCTGCCTGCTTCACACGCGAAAGGTCTCCGTTCATCCCGACGGAACCAAGGGCCGGAGCGCTTACTTATCCCAAGGAATGCGTTGCAGGGTGAATAGCCATGGAATTCACGCGAGGGGATAATTTTATTTTTATTGTACGCTTTACTTTTAATCACGTGCATAATATATGTCAATGATATTCTAATTTAGTGTGCTTTAATTCTGTCTCTTTAATTCAAGACGTTCCCTACCTATTGTGCAGTTCCGTAGTGTAGTGGTTATCACGTCTTCGCTTCACACGCGAAATCCGGTTCGATCCGACGGAAACCGCGGCCTGAAAGTGTTTACTTATCCTTACCTGAATGCGTTGCACTGTAATACGCTTTTGGAATTCACGCGAGGGGATAATTTTTATTTTTATTGTACGCTTTACTTTAATCACGTGCATAATATATGTCAATGATATCTAATTTAGTGTACAAAGCTTTTATAATTCTGTCTCTTTGAATCGCGACGTTCTCACCTATTGTGCGGTTCCGTAGTGTAGTGCGAGTTATCACGTTCGGTTCTACATATGAAAGGTCTCCGGTTCGATCCCGGACGGAAACTGCTGGGCCGGAGTGTTTTACTTTTATCCCACGGAATGTTGCAGGGTGACCAATGCCATGGAATTCACGCAGAGGGATAATTTTATTTTATTGTACGCTTACTTAATCACGTGCATAATATATGTCAATGATATCTAATTTAGTGTACGTTTTAATTCTGTCTCTTTAATTCAAGACGTCTCTACCTATTGTGCAGTTCCAGTGTAGTGAAAGCTATCACGTCGCCTACACACGCGAAAGGTCTCCGGTTCGATCCCGGACGGAACCAAGGCCGGAGTGTTTTACTTTATCCCACGGAATGCGTTGCAGGGTGAATACTTCATGGAATCTCACGCGAGGATAATTTTATTTATTGTACGCTTTTACTTTAATCACGCATAATATATATGCGTGCGTCAATGATATCTAATTTAGTGAACAAGCTTTTTAAATCTGTCTCTTTAATTCAAGATCGTTCCCTACCTATTGTGTGACCTGTAGTGTAAGTGGGAGTTATCACTGCTCCGCTTCACACGCGAAAGGTTCTCGGTTTGATCCTGACGGAAACCGCTGCCGGAGTATGCATTTATCCCACGGAATAAAGCCGCAGGGGTGAATACGCCATGGAATTCACGCGAGGGGATACCTCTATTTTTATTGTACGCTTATCAATCACGTGCATAATATATGTCAATGATATCTAATTTAGTGAACAAGCTTTAAATCTGTCTTCACCAAGACGTTCCCTACCTATTGTGCAGTTCCGTAGTGTAGTGGAAAGCATCACGTTCCGCTTCACACGCGAAAGGTCTCCGGTTCGATCCCGGACGGAACCAAGGGCCGGAGGTTTTACTTTATCCCACGGAATGTAGTGTTGCAGGGTGAATACGCTATGGAATTCACGCGCGAGGGATAATTTTATTTTTATTGTAATGCTTTACTTTAATCACGTGCATAATATATGTCAATGATATCTAATTGCGTACAAGCTTTAATTCTGTCTCTTTAATTCAAGACGTTCCCTACCTATTGTGCAGTTCCGTAGTGTAGTGGTTATCACGTTCGCTTCACACGCGAAAGGTCTCCCGGTTCGATCCCGACGGAACCAAGGCCGAGTGTTTTACTTATCCCACGGAATGCGTTGCAGGGTGTAATTACGCTATGGAATCTCACGCGAGGATAATTTTATTTTATTGTACGCTTTACTTTAATCACGTGCATAATATATGTCAATGATATCTAATTTAGTGTACAAGCTTTTAATTCTGTCTCTTTAATTCAAGACGTTCCTACCTATTGTGCGGTTCCGTAGTGTAGTGGTTATCACGCTTCACACGTCGAAAAGTCTCCGGTTCGATCCGACGGAACCAAGGCCGAGTGTTTTACTTTATCCCACGGAATGCGTTGCAGGGTGAATACGCTATGGAATTCACGCGAGGATAATTTATTTTTATTGTACGCTTGATTTAATCACGTGGCTAATATATGTCAATGATATTCAATTTAGTACAAGTTTTAATTCTGTTCCTTAATTCAAGACGTTCCCTACCTATTGTGCAGTTCCGTAGTGTAGTGAGCATCACGTTCGCTTCCACACGCGAAAAGGTCTCCCGGTTCGATCCCGGACGGAACCAAGGGCCGGAGTGTTTTACTTATCCCACGGAATGCGTTGCAGGGTGAATACTCTGAATTCACGCGAGATACTTATTTTTATTGTACGCTTTATTTTAATCACGTGCATATTATGTCAATGATATCTAATTAGTGTACAAGCTTTAATTCTGTCTCTTTAATTCAAGACGCCCTACCTATTGTGCGGTTCCGTAGTAGTGGTTATCACGTTCGCTTCACACGCGAAAGGTCTCCGGTTCGATCCCGACAGAACCCGCGCCGGAGTGTTTTATTTTATCCCAGGAATGCGTTGCAGGGTGAATACGTTATGGAATCTCAATGCGAGGGGATAATTTTTATTTTTACGCACAAGCTTTACTTAATCACGTGCATAATATATGGCAATGTGATATCTATATTTAGTGTACAAGATTAAATCTGTCTTTAATTCAAGACGTTCCCTACCTCTTGTGCGGTTCCGTAGTGTAGTGAAGTATCACTGCTCGCTTCACACACGCGAAAGGTTCTGTCTGACCACGGACGGAACCAAGCGCCGGAGTGTTTTACTTTATCCCACGGAATGCGTTGCAGGGTGAATACGCTATGGAATTCACGCGAGGGGATAATTCTTATTTTTACAGTACGCTTTACTTTAATCACGTGCATAATATATGGCAATGTGATATCTAATTTAGTGTACAAGCTTTAAATCTGTCTCTTTAATTCAAGACGTTCCCTACCTATTGTGCGGTTCCGTAGTGTAGTGGTTATCACGTTCGCTTCACACACGAAAGGTCTCCGGTTCGATCCCGGACGAACCAAGCGCCGGAGTAAGCTTATTTTATCCCAGGAATGCGTTGCAGGTGAATACGCTTATGGAATTCACGCGAGGATAATTTAATTTTACAGTACGCTTTTACTCTTAATCACGTGCATAATATATGGCAATGATATCTAATTCTAGTGAACAAGCTTTAAATCTGTCTCTTTAATTCAAGACGTTCCCTACCTCTGTGCGGTTCCTGCGTAGTGTTATCACGTTCGCTTCACACGCAAAAGGTCTCCGGTTCGATCCCGGACAGAACCAAGCGCCGAGTGTTTTATTTTATCCTGTAAATGCGTTGCAGGGTGAATGTACGCTATGGAATTCACGCGAGGGATAATTTATTTTACTGTACGCTTTACTTTAATCACGTGCATAATATATGGCAATGATATCTAATTTAGTGAACAAGCTTTAAATCTGTCTCTTTAATTCAAGACGTTCCCTACCTCTTGTGCGGTTCCGTAGTGTAGTGGTTATCACGTTCGCTTCACACGCGAAAGGTTCCGCTTCGGGATCCCGACAGAACCAAGCGCCGGAGGTTATTTTTATCCCAGGGAATGCGTTGCAGGTGAATACGCCATGGAATTCACGCGAGGATAATTTTATTTTACTGTACGCTTTACTCTTAATCACGTGCATAATATATGGCAATGATATTCAATTTAGTGAACGCTTTAAATCTGTCTCTTTAATTCAAGACGTTCCCTACCTATTTCAGTGGTTCCGTAGTGTAGTGGAGTTATCACGTTCGCCACACACGCCGAAAGCGTCTCCGGTTCGATCTCGACGGAACCAAGCGCCGGAGTGTTTTATTTTACCTCCACGGAATGCTGCAGGGTGAATACGCTATGGAATTCACGCGAGGATAATTTTTATTTTTACTCGTACGCTTTACTTTAATCAATTTATATAATATATGGCAATGATATCTAATTTAGTGAACAAGCTTTAAATCTGTCTCTTTAATTCAAGACGTTCCCTACCTCTTGTGCGGTTCCGTAGTGTAGTGAAAGCATCACGTTCGCTTCATCAAAGCGAAAGGCTCTGTCTGATCCTGACGGAACCAAGCGCCGGAGTGTTTTATTTTATCTCCACGGAATGCCAGGTGAATACGCTATGGAATTCACGCGAGGGATAATTTCTATTTTTAATGTACGCTTTACTTTAATCACGAGCATAAGAGGCAAATGATATCTAATTTAGTGAACAAGCTTTAAATCTGTCTCTTTAATTCAAAGACGCCCCACCCTTTGTGCGGTTTCCGTAGTGTAGTGGTTATCACGTTCAGTTTCACACGCGAAAGGTCTCCGCCTGATCCCTGACGGAACCAAGCGCCGGGAGTGTTTTTATTTTATCCCACGGAATGCGTTATAAAGTGAATACTATGGAATTCACGCGAGGGATACCCTGCTTTTAAATGTACGCTTTACTCTTAATCACGAGCATAATATATGGCAATGATATCTAATTTTAGTGAACAGTTTTAAATCTGTCTCTTTAATTCAAGACGTTCCCTACCCTTGTGCGCGCAGGTTCCGTAGTGTAGTGAGTTATCACGTTCGCTTCCACACGTGCGAAAGGTCTCTGTCTGATCCTGACGGAACCAAGCGCCGGAGTGTTTTATTTTATTCCACGGAATGCGTTGCAGGGTGAATACGCTATGGAATTCACGCGAGGGGATAATTCTTATTTTTAATGTACGCTTTACTTTAATCACGAGCATAATATATGGCAATGATATCTAATTTAGTGAAATGCTTTTTAAATCTGTCTCTTAATTTACGTTCCCCTACCTCTTTGTGCGGTTCCGCAGTGTAGTGGTTATCACGTTCGCTTCCACACGCGAAAGGTCTCGGTTCTGATCCCGACGGAACCAAGCGCTTATGTTTTATTTTATTCCACGGAATGCGTTGCAGGTGAATACGCTATGGAATTACCGCGAGGGATAATTTATTTTTAATGTACGCTTTACTTTAATCACGAGCAATTATATGGCACATATCTAAATTTAGTGAACAAGCTTTAAATTTCGTTTCTTTAATTCAAGACGTTCCCCTAAATTTTGTGCGGTTCCGTAGTGTAGTGAGCTATCACGTTCGCTTCACGCGAAAAGGCTCCGGTTCGATCCCGGACGGAAACCAAGCGCCGAGTGTTTTATTTTATTCCACGGAATGCGTTGCAGGTGAATACGCCATGGAATTCACGCGAGGATAATTTTACTTTTAATGCACAATACTTTAATCACGAGCATAATATATGGCAATGATATCTAATTCTAGTGAACAAGCTTTAAATCTGTCTCTTTAATCCAAGACGTTCCCTACCTCTGTGCGGTTCCGCAGTGTAGTATATCACGTTCGCTTCCACATCGCGAAAGGTCTCCGGTTCAATCCGACGGAACCAGGCGCCGGAGTAAGTTTTATTTTATCCCACGGAATAAAATGGGTGAATACGCTATGAATCTTCACGCGAGGATAATTCTTATTTTAATACTACTTTAATCACGTGCATACTATGCGTAATGATATCAATTTAGTGAACAAGCTTTAAATCTGTCTCTTTAATTCAAGACGTTCCATTGTGCGGTTCCGTAGTGTAGTGGTTATCACGTTCGCTTCACACGCGAAGGTCTCCGGTTCGATCCCGGACGGAACCACACGCCGGAGTGTTTGATTTTATCCCACGGAATGCGTTGCAGGTTGAATACGCTATGGAATTCACGCGAGGGGATAATTCTTATTTTTACTGTACGCTTTCTTTAATCACGTGCATAATATATACAGACAATGATTTCTAATTTATTGTACAAGCTTTAAATAAGTCTCTTTAATTCAAAGACGTTCTGTTCCTATTGTGCGGTTCCGTAGTGCGGTTAATACGCCCGCTTCACACGCGAAAGGTCTCCCGGTTCGATCCCGACGGAACCACACGCCGGAGTGTTTACCTTATCCTACCTGAATGCGTTGCAGGTTGAATACGCTATGGAATTCACCAGGGGATAATTTATTTTTACGTACGCTTTAATCACGTGCATAATATATATGACAATGATATCTAATTTATTGTACAAGCTTTCTTCTAAATAAGTCTCTTTAATTCAAGACGTTCTGTTCCTCTTGTGCGGTTCCGTAAAGTGTAGAGGTTATCACGTTCGCTTTCACATCGCGAAAAGGTCTCCGGTTCGATCCCGACGAACCACACGCCGGAGTGCTTGATTTTATCCCACGGAATGCGTTGCAGGTTGAATACGCTATGGAATTCACTTTAGGATAAATTTATTTTACTGTACGCTTTTAATCACGTGCATAATATATATGACAATGATATCTAATTTATTGTACGCTTTAAATAAGTCTCTTTAATTCAAGACGCCTGTTCCTCTTGTGCGGTTCCGTAGTGTAGTGGTTATCACGTTCCGCTTCACGCGAGCGTCTCCGGTTCCAACCCCGACTGAACCACACGCCGGAGTGTTTGATTTATCCCACGGAATGCGTTGCAGGTTGAATACGCTGTGGAATTCACGCGAGGATAATTCCTTTATTTTACTGTACGCTTTAATCACGGAGCATAATATATATGACAATGATATCTAATTTATTGTACAAGCTTTAAAATAAGTCTTTTTAATTCAAGACGTCTGGTTCTCTGTGCGGTTCCGTAGTGTAGTGGTTATCACTGCCCGCTTAACACGCGAAAGGTCTCCGGTTCGATCCCGGACGGAACCACACGCCGGAGTAAGTTTGATTCGATCCCACGGAATGCGTTGCAGGGTTGAATACGCTATGGAATTCACGCGAGGGATAATTCTATTTTACTGTATCAGCTTTCTTTAACACCGTGCATAATATATATGACAATGATATCTAATTTATTTGCGCCAAGCTTTTGGGGCCGCGCTTTAATTCAAGACGTTCTGTTCCTCTTGTGCGGTTCCGTAGTGTAGAGGTTATCACTGCTCCGCTTCATTACGCGAAAGGTCTCCTGGTTCGATCCCGACGGAACCACACGCCGGAGTGCTTGATTTTATCCCACGGAATGCGTTGCAGGTTGAATACGCTATGGAATTCACGCGAGGGGATAATTCTTATTTTGCACTGTACGCTTTCTTTTAATCACGAGCAGCATAATATATATGACAATGATATCTAATTTATTGTACGTTTTAAATAAGTCTCTTTAATTCAAGACGTTCTGTACCTCTAGTGCGGTTCGGTAGTGTAGTGGTTATCACGTTCGCTTACCACGCGAAAGGTCTCTGGTTCGATCCCGACGGAACCACACGCCGGAGTGTTTATTTTATCCCACGGAATGCGTTGCAGGTTGAATACGCCATGAATTCACGCGAGGATAATTTTATTTTTACTGTACGCTTTCTTAATCACGAGCATAATATATATGACAATGATATCTAATTTATTGTACAAGCTTTAAATAAGTCTCTTTAATTCAAGACGTTCTGTTCCTCTTGTGCGGTTCCGTAGTGTAGTGGTTATCACGTTCGCTTCACACGCGAAAGGTCTCCGGTTCGATCCCGGACGGAACCACGCGCCAGAGTGTTTGATTTTATCCCACGGAATGCGTTGCAGGTTGAATACGCTATGGAATTTACGCGAGGGGATAGCTCTTATTTTTACTGTACGCTTTACTTTAATCACGTGCATAATATATACAGCACAATGATATTCAATTTATTGTACAAGCTTTAAAATAAGTCTTTTAATTCAAGACGTTCTGTTCCTCTTGTGTGGTTCCTGTAGTGTAGTGGTTATCACGTTCGCTTCACACGCGAAAGGTCTCCGGTTCAACTCTGACGGAACCACACGCCGGAGTAAGTTTTGATTTTATCCCACGGAAGTTGCTGCAGGTTGAATACGCTGCGGAATTCACGCGAGGGTAATTCTTTATTTTACTGTACGCTTTTAATCAATAGAGCATGTATTGATATAAGGACAATGATATCTAATTTATTGTACAAGTTTTAAATAAGTCTCTTTGAATTCAAGACGTCCTGTTCCTCTTGTGCGTTCCGTAGTGTAGTGTTATCACGCTCAGTTTCACACGCGAAAGGTCTCCGGTTCGATCCCACGGAAACCACACGCCGGAGTGTTTGATTTTATCCTACTGAATGCGTTGCAGGTTGAATACGCTATGAATTCACCACGCGAGGGATAATTTTATTTTACTGTACGCTTTTAATCACGTGCATAATATATATGACAATGATATCTAATTTATTGTACAAGCTTTAAATAAGCCCTTTAATTCAAGACGTTCTGTCTCTCGCAGTTCCGTAGTGCGTAGTGGTTATCACGTTCGCTTCACACACGCGAAAGGTCTCCCGGTTCGATCCCGACGGAACCCACACGCCGGAGTGTTTGATTTTATCCCACGGAATGCGTTGCAGGTTGAATACGCTATGGAATTCAAATGCTGAGGGATAATTTACTTTACGTGTTTCTTTTAATCACGTGCATAATATATATGACAATGATATTCTAATTCTATTGTACAAGCTTTAAATAAGTCCTTTAATCCAAGACGTTCTGTTCTTCAGTGTCCGTAGCGGTAGAGGTTATCACGTTCGCTTCACACGCGAAAGCGTCCCGGTCTGATCCCGGACGGAACCACGCCGGTGCTTTTGATTTTATCCCAAATGGAATGCGCTGTGGCGCTGAATACGCTAGAAATCTACGCGAGGATAATTCTTATTTTTAATGTACTTTTAATCACGTACAATATATATGACAACATATCTAATTTATTGTACAAGCTTAAAATAAGTCTCTTTAATTCAAGACGTTCTTGTCTCTCTTTGTGCGGTTCCGTAGTGTAGTAAGCTATCACGTTCGCTTCATTATCAGCAGCGTCCTCCGGTTCGATCCCGACGGAACCACACGCCGGAGTAATTTTTTTCTGATTTTATCCCCACGGCCGCAGTTGCAGGTTGAATACGCCATGTGAATTCACGCGAGGGGATAATTTTATTTTACTGTACGCTTTAATCACGTGCATAATATATATGACAATGATATCTAATTTATTGCGGCCAAGCTTTAAATAAGTCTCTTTAATTCAAGACGTTCTGTTCTCTGTGTGTCCGCAGTGTAGAGGTTATCGCCTGTCAACACGTAAAGTGAAAGGTCTCCCTGGTTCGATCCTGACGGAAACCGCCGGGTGCTTGATTTATCCCGCCGAATGCTGTAGGCTTAATTATGCCGCGAAATTCACGAGGGGATAATTTTGGCTTTTACGTACGCTTTACCCGCGTGCATAATATATGGACAACATATTCTAATTTATTGCAAGCTTTAAATAAGTCTTTAATTCAAGACGGCTCCCCGTTCCTCTTGTGCGGTTCCGTAAAGTGGTGCGGTTATCACGTTCGCTTCGAATACGCAGTTCCGTTCAATCCCGACTGAACCACACGCCGTAGAGTGCCTGATTTTATCCCACGCACGCTCGCGCTGAATACGCCAAGGAATCTGTGTTTGAGGGATAATTTATTTACTGTACGCTTTTAATCACGAGCATAATATATATGGCAATGATATCTAATTAAGTGTACAAGCTTTAAATAAGTCTTTAATTCAAGACGTTATGTACCTCTTGTGCGGTTCCGTAGTGTAGTGTGGTTATCATTGCTCACCACACGCGAAAGGTCTCCGGTTTCGATCCCGGACGGAACCACACGCCGGAAGTGCTGATTTTATCCCCACGGAATGTTGCAGGCTTGAATACGCTGCGGAATCTACGCGAAGGGATAATTTTATTTTACTGTACGCTTTCTTAATCACGTGCATAATATATATGACAATGATATCTAATTTATTGTACGCTTTAAATAAGCTTTAATTCAAGACGTTCTGTTCCTCTTGTGCGGTTCCGTAGTGTAGAGGTTATCACGTTCGCTTCACACGCGAAAGGTCTCCGGTTCGATCCCGGACGGAACCACACGCCGGAGTGCTTGATTTTATCCCACGGAATGCGTTGCAGGTTGAATACGCTATGGAATTCACGCGATAATTTTATTTTTACTGTAATAATGCTTCTTTAATCACGAGCATAATAGTAGGCATAATGATATCTAATTTATTGTACAAGCTTTAAATAAGCCCTTTAATTCAAGACGCCTGTTCCTCTTGTGCGGTTCCGTAGTGTAGCATATCACGTTCGCTTCACACGCGAAAGGTCTCGGTTCTGAACCGGACGGAACCACACGCCGGAGTGTTTGATTTTATCCCACGGAATGCGTTGCAGGTTGAATACGCGAATTCACGCGAGGATAATTTTTATTTTACTGTACGCTTTAATCACGCATAATATATGACAATGATATCTAATTTATTGTACGTTTTAAATAAGCCTCCCACCAAGACGTTCTGTTCCTCCTTGTGCGGTCTGTAGTGTAGTGAGTATCACGTTCGCTTCACACGCGCGAAAGGTCTCGGTTCGATCCCGGACGGAACCACACGCCGGAGTGCGTTTGAATTTATCCCACGGAATGCTGCAGGTTGAATAATACGCTATGGAATTCACGCGATAATTTCTAGTTTTACTGTACGCTTTCTTTAATCACGGGCATAATATATATGCCCATGATATCTAATTTATTGTACAAGCTTTAAATAAGTCTCTTTAATTCAAGACGTTCTGTTCCTTCAGGGTGGTTCCAGTAGTGTGTAGTGGTTATCACGTTCACTTCACACGCGAAAAGGTCTCCGGTTCAATCCCGGGACGCAAACCACACGCCGGAGTGTTTGATTTGTCCCACGGAATGCGTTGCGCCGAATACGGAATTCACGCGAGGGATAATTCTATTTTTACTGTACGCTTTCTTTAATCAATGGCCATATATGACAATGATATCTAATTTATTGTACAAGCTTTAAATAAGTCTCTTTTAATTCAAGACGTTCTGTTCCTCTGTGCGGTTCCGTAGTGTAGTGGTTATCACGTTCGCTTCACACGCGAAAGCGTCTCCCGGTTCGATCCCGGACGGAACCACACGCCGGAGTGTTTGATTTATCCCACGCGGAATGCGTTGCAGGTTGAATACGCTAAGTGGAATCTACGCGAGGATAATTTTATTTTACTGTACGCTTTTAATCACGTGCACATATATGACAATGATATTCACTTTTGCCGTACAAGCTTTAAATAAGTCTCTTTAATCAAGACGTTCTGTTCCTCTTGTGCGGTTCCCAGAAGTGTAGTGGTTATCACGTTCGCTTCAGCGCGGAAAGGTTCCGGTTCGATCCCGGACGGAACCACACGCCGGAGTGCTTCTGATTTTATCCCACGGAATGCGTTGCAGGTTGAATACGCTTATGGAATTCACGCGGAAAGGATAATTCTTATTTTACTGTACGCTTTCTTTAAATCACGCATAATATATATGACAATGATATCTAATTTATTGTACAAGCTTTAAATAAGCCCTTTAATTCAAGACGTTCTGTTCCTCTTGTGCGGTTCCCGTAGTGTAGTGAAAGTTATCACGTTCGCTTCACACGCGAAAGGTCTCCGGTTCGAACCCCGGACGGTCCGCACGGAGTGCTTGATTTTATCCTACCTGAATGCGTTGCAGGTTGAATACGCTATGAATTCACGCGAGGGGATAATTTATTTTTACTGGCCGCTTTAATCACGTATAATATATATGACAATGATATCTAATTTATTGTACAAGCTTTAAATAAGCCCTTAATTCAAGACGTTCTGTTCCTCTTGTGCGGTTCCGTAGTGTAGTAGTTTATCACCGTTTCACACGCGAAAGGTCTCCGGTTCAATCCTGACGGAACCACACGCTGAGTGTTTGATTTTATCCCACTTGAATGCGTTGCAGGTTGAATACGCCATGGAATTCACGCGAGGATAATTTTATTTTTACTGTACGCTTTTAATCACGAGCATAATATATATGACAAACATATCTAATTTATTGTACAAGCTTAAATAAGTCTCCCCTTTAATTCAAGACGTTCTGTTCCTCTTGTGCGGTTCCGTAGTGTAGTATTACGCCGTTCGTTTACGCGAAAGGTTCCGGTTCGATCCCGACGGAACCGCACGCCGGAGTGTTTGATTTTATCCCACGGAATGCGTTGCAGGTTGAATACGCTATGGATTTCACGCGAGGGGATAATTCTTATTTTTACTGTACGCTTTTAATCACGTGCATAATATATATGACAATGATATCTAATTTATTGCACAAGCTTTAAATAAGTCTCTTTAATTCGCACGTTCTGTTCCTCTTGTGCGGTTCCGTAGTCTATTATTATCACGTTCGCTTCATACGCGAAAAGGTCTCCGGTTCGATCCCGACGGAACCACACGCCGGAGTGTTTGATTTTATCCCACGGAATGCGTTGCAGTTGAATACGCTATGGAATTCACGCTGAGGATAATTTTACTTTTACTGTACAAGCTTTCAACGCCATTGAGAGTGGCGACAATGATATTCATACCCCTATTGTGCCAAGCTTTTAAATAAAGTCTCTTTGGTCTTGAAGATTTGCCCCAGCCTTCTGTGGTTCCGTAGTGAGGTTATCACGTTTCCGTCATACGAAAGGTCTCCGGTCAGATCCCGACGGAACCGCTACGCCGGAAGTGCTTTCGATTTTTGATCCCATTTTAGTCGCAAGTTGAATGATGCTATGGAATTTAGGATACCTTATTTTTTATTTGCAGCCGTTTCTTTAATCGTTTTACAATATATATGGATTGTTACGACTTCAATTTATTGTACAAGCTTTAAATAAGTCTTCATCCCAAGAATGTCTTGTTCTCTGAAGTGGTTCCGCATGGGTGGTTCGTGCCCGTTTCACATTTGAAAGGTTCCCTGAGTCGATCCTGACGGAACCCACACGTTCGTAGAGTTTCGATTTATCCAATGCTGGTATTGAATATGCTATGGAATCTTCACGCGAGGGACAATTTTGCTTTATCGTACAAAGCTTTCAATCACAAATATGACAATGATATTCTAATTGTTGTACAAGCTTTTGCGCCAAGTCTCTTTACCCGCGATTGCTCAGCCCCTTCTGTGCGGTTCCGTAGTATTATCGTCTGTCCATGAAACGCCCCCGGCCTGAGTCCCGGACGGAACCACACGTTTAGTGTTTGATTTTGATCCTACGGAATGTTGCAGGTTATCATGCTATGGAATTCACGCGATATTCTGTTTTATCGTACGCTTTCTTTGAACCGCATATTGAGAAAGGGTGACAATATTATCTAATTTGCTTGTGCCAAGCTTTTTAAAGCCCCGGTTCCAAGACGTTCCTGTTCTCTCAGGTGCACCGGTAGTGGGAGTGCCATCACGTTCGCCAGCAGCCCCAGTCTGATCCTGGATGGAACCACACGCTTTGGAGTGCTTTGATTTTATCCCACGGAATGTTGTGTTGAATAACGCCGGCACTACGCGAGGGATATTCTTATTTTTTACGTAAGCTTTTACCCGCGGCGCATGAGATGCGACATACTGATATCTAATTGAGCCAGGCTCCAGCCCTTGCTCCCAAGACGTTCTCTTGTGCAGTTCCGTGCGTGGTGGTTATCGCCGCCTCGCCCAAGACACCCAGCATCCCCGGTTCGATCCTTGACGCAAGTCCGCACGGAGTGTCGGATTTGACCTACGGAATGTTGTGTTGAATACGCTATGGAATTCATCAGCGAGGGATAATTCTATTTTACTGTACGCTTTTAATCACGTGCATAATATATATGACAATGATATTCCACCTTATTGTACAAGCTTTCTTTAAAATAAGTCTCTTTAATTCAAGACGTTCTGTTCCTCTTGCGGTTCCAGTAAAGTGTAGAGGTGCCATCACGTTCGCTTCACACGCGAAAGGTCTCCGGTTCGATCCCGGACGGAACCACACGCCGGAGTGCTTGATTTTTATCCCCACGGAATGCGTTGCAGGTTGAATACGCCATGGAATTCACGCCAGAGGATAATTCTTATTTTACTGTACGCTTAATCACGCATAATAGAGGCGACAATGATGTATACCTAATTTATTGTACATGCTTAAATAAGTCTCTTTAATTCAAGACGTTCTTGTTCCTCTTGTGCGGTTCCGTAGTGTAGTGGGAAAAGTTATCACTTTCAAAGCCATACGAAAGGTCTCATTACATCCTGACGGAACCACGCCAATAAAGTGTTTTCACTTATCCCACCGAAGAGAAAGAGAAACATATTTTCTAATACAACATTTTCTTCCGAAGAATTTCATATTTTACGCTTTGGGAAAGATTAAACATTTTAATAAATGTGAGAGTATTTTTAGGAAATTTAACGTACGTAAATCTCATTCCTATAGCTAATGGAATGATTATAAAAAATTCAAGGCTTTCAGTTTTTCATCTTGAATGTCTAGTAAATTCATTTTTATTTTCAAATTGAGTACTTATTCAATCTCTGACGACCCTAATGTTTGTTTGTTTGCGTCAGTTTAAAGTGTGATAGATTGTCATCTTTTTTATAATCATAGTGTAATCTGCTTCTTTACCTGTTTCGAAGTCTACAATTCGTTACAAAATTTTCGAAAACGTTGTGACGGTAATTATTGGTTTGATTTGATTTGTTTATTAACATCGCACTTTGAAACTGCGCTGGGGCTATTGACGACAAAACTCGTCATTTTGAACTTCGTATGAGTGACAAGAAGAATACTTAGCTTTGTACCCCACTCTCCAAACATCCACACCAAACTTTACAGGGACCTGTAACGCTTATAATTAATATAATGTTCTTTGCGTGGTACAAACGTGGAATTTTATTTATGTTAACATTCAGTGGTAATGAAAATTTAATCATTTACGTGCGTGATATAAAGGAATTAGCAAACGAAATCTCGACATGATCGTAATAATTGTTTTAGAGGTGCTTCCTTTTTTTTATACAAAAGAGAATTCAATTGATAAAAATATAATAGAATTAAATTTCCGTTGGGGTTGATCAAATGTTACAGAAATGATTGAAAACGCTTACTGCGCATATATTGAACAATTGGAAAAGATAAAAATTTAACGAATATTGAAAAGGCTGCGCGCGCAAAACATGCAACTTATTCAGTACTTCAATTTTCTTAATACTGTTAGTTTTTTTTCTTTCTTTGGAAAGAGAAGCTCTATTGATTGTCTTTGTTATTTATAATACATCTTGTTAAGGGCTAAAAAATGGACAACTTATTTATGTTTTTTGTTTTTGCATATTTGTGATGGTACACTCACTAAAGGCAATTATCAAAGTGTAATAAGGCGATATGATGAATTATGTTTTAGCATGCCTCATGTTGAAGAAGAATTTAAGAACAATATTGTTTGAAAAACTTATTTATCCTATTATAGCCTATCTCATGATTACGTTACTACGTACTTATAGTAAATCAATAGTTATATTCATGTTTATTTTTTGCATATAGATTTTAAACTTTGATATTTAGCAGTAGTTTAAGCAGATGGCAAAGTATTGTTAGCACACAAAAAATGAATAAAACAAAAATCATTTATGTAAAAATAATGCAATTAAAATATAGGAAAGAACTATATAGATTTAAACAAGACTCTCTAATTTTCTAAGCCCTCGTTGATAAAACATAGAATTTTCTTCGTGAGTATTACGAGAAAAAAAATTGAGGATGGTAATTCTCTTTTTGATTTTATAGTTATGATTAATACTATTTTACAGATACTCATTTTTTAATCATTGTAACGAAAACAATAATTATATCCATATTTATTTGCTACATATTTTCAATAATTTGCATTGAAATAATCTTTGTGATCTGATTGTTTTTTTAGTCTGTTTTCTCAAATATTGTATAGCACCTGGTAGTTGAAGATGCATGTCTTAAAATCTTTTTAAATCCCTTATACGATCTAATTTTTAAAAAAAACTCTTTTGATGCTGTTTTTAGTTATGTATATTATTATTGTTAGCTATTTTTAGGCATAAAATGCAAAACCGTTTACATTTTTAATTGTATTATGTAATTTTAACCGTTTAAAAGTTAACAAATACATAAATTACAGCACAGAAGTAGAATTTTTAAATTTCAGAAATATATATAAATGACATTTATTTTAATTGTTTTGAAATGCACTAAATGGAAAGCAAATACAATAGAACGTCTTTTATCCGAACGTTTATTATCCGGACCAAATTTTTTTGTCACCTACATGTACTGTATATGAAAATGCATGGAATAAGTTGTGGCAAGATTTAGAACGCGAAAAAAACTTCAATGACGACAACAGGCAGGAGAATACCGATTTTGTCCAATCAATCCAAGAGCTAGAGGAAGACGTAGAAACATCTGGATGGTATGTGATGCAGAAGATAGTTGATTTCAAATGCTAAATGATGATTGCATTGGTACTCGGTCCGGTAACTTACCCTGTCGATGACTTCAAACGAAATTAGCCACGCGACGACAACAACAAAAGCAGCAAGGGGCCATCAAATGCTGATGTGTTTTTCATGTTAGAGACAGCAATGGAGTGGTACGAACAACCAGAGTGCTGTCCTACTCAACTACTGCTGCTCAAGAGGATCAGAGACCTTCCAGCGGAAAAATGAAGGTCTACAATGGTACAGCGAAGAATAAGTGATTAATTTTCCACAATAAAGGTAAAATTGCGTGTGACATATGGGATTGTCATATATAAGATTTTATACAAAAATTAACACTTATCTTGATAATTTGTACGGTTTATAATAAGTCCCTTTAAACTCGTTGACAAAAGTTATGTGGAGAAAAGGAATAAATGTAAAGCTGGAATCAAAAAAGAGTTTCTGAAATAAGTAAATCCTTCGCAAACACTGTCAAGGTCCTTTTATTTAATTCCAAAGCTGAATAATTTTGAAGTGGATAAAATTGCGCAGAAAAGATCAGAAAGACGTATATATACGTCCGGTGCAATTAGCGCACTTGAGCAGGAGACGTTTGTATACGGTGGAACTTAAGAGGTTAAAGTCGTATCGCAGTTTTGTAGCATCAAAATATAGTATTATTGAATTCGATACACGTTATTGTATGAGGGGCGCGATGAAAATTATGATTGAATATTGGGTCGCGAATATTGAAACTTTAAGAAGCACTGTTATAGAGGATATTTACGGGCTGGTATCTATTGTAGCTTGCAGGATTTCTTTTCTGTTGAAATTGATGTTAATTGTATACCGTTTATTTCCCTCTCCCCCAGATATATTTCGGCAATATGGCCCTGTATTTATATTTTAATAGCAGAACTCTAAGATCAGTGATGCACCAGCACTGCCACGAAGTTAGTACTGATGAATGTTAAATTTGTCGTGTCTCCAAGTTCCTCGCTTTGGAGAAGTGTGGATGCTAGATGAGTGGATTGCCAGCTCAGGTGTCTTCCTTGTCACTTGACCGGTTTTCAAAATTACGAGGTCCGTCACCAACAGCCTTCATGCTATTTAAAAATGCGACGTTAATAAGCACTCCCTCACGCACCCGTATTTGTTCTACTTTGTAAAGCAAAAATTTGGTTCCGATTTTCTATTTTAGAGTAATCAATTATAAATTATTCCGGAATTTTCGATTTTGGAGCAATTATATATAATTTTATCTGTATTTTTTAAACCTACACATATAAATAAATAGTATTAGTAGAAAAACACTTATTAGTTAAATATTACTAATTTTAAAGAAACTGTGTGGGTGTGTGTACCTCCTTTGTACTAATTATACCACTGTTCATACTCATTGCTCAAATTGTAAAACTCTAATTTACATGTATTATGTAGTTCTATTTTTTTCAATTCCTACTATTAGTTCACATTCTCTCTCTATATAAAAATTTACTTTTTTTTTTAATCTTGTTTAAATTTTCAATCGTTAATATAATACTTTTTATTCATTGACTCAATTTCAAATACATTTTTTTTAAACTTATAGTGTATAACACTTCATGTTAATACAGTTTTTTCAAATATTTTTCATTGATTAAATTATATTTTTAATTTAAAATTTATTCTACGGGATTTCTGACGAAGTTACAACTAGCTGTAACAGATGGCGCCACCAAAATAGAAATTGACTTTAAAAAAACAACTTTTTTTTTACTTTACTTGTTTTCAATATATTGCAACCAGGAAAAAATAAAGTTCAAGTTTTCATCTCCGCATTTTAATTTGTACTTCAACTTTGTGCTTCAACAAAAACAATGTTCCTTGTCCCCTTTTCCTCTAAATTGCACTGAACTCTTATTCCGCTTTTGTTTCTGCACCTTGACAAAGCCACAAACAGTTGTCCATGAGTAAATATTGTTTTCTTTGATGCTACACATATATCGACTTTTTCAAAATTCTGCCCCCGTGGCTTATTAATAGTCAGGGCAAATGCCAATCTTACAGGGAATTGCGTACGTTTCAGTACGAATGGTATGCCCAAGTTCCTTCGAGTGTCCAAATTTGTAACCATAATATCGAACAGAACTTACTGCCTTTTTATTATTGTTCAGGTGTGTGAGATAAATAAATTTTTTACATCATCACGAAAAACTTTTATTATTTTGAACTAGATGTGAAAGACACTTGATGTTAATACAGTTTTTTCAAATACTAATCCATTAATTAAATTTTATTTTTTAATTTTAAATTTAGTGTGTGTTATTTCTGTTGTAGTTACAAATAGCTGCATCAAATGGCACCAGTACGTTTTTTTAACGAAGTGTAGGAATTAACGTTGAAATTTTTTTTATATTACTTTTGCTTTCTTAAACTCCATGCAAATATGAAATATTTTTTACTATTTTAATCAAATACTTCTGAAGTCACATACATGACGTCAGAAAAATGTGTCATTTAATCGGTTATGCTGAGAAAGCCTTTTAATTTCTGAAGTTT